ACACCACTCATTACTGGTCTCCAACTGGACGCTGAGCTATTTACTACAACTCTGTGTGTGCGGCCATCCAGCCAGTTCTTTATCCACTGAGTGGTCCATCCATCAAATTGATGTCTCTCCAATTTAGAGACAAGGATGTTGTGCGGGACAGTGTTGAATGCTTTGCACAAGTCCAGGTAGATGACATCAACTGCTCTGCTGTCACCCAAATCTCTGTCCACCCTGGCCTTGAACACTGCCAGGGATGGAGCATTTAACTCTTCTTTGAGCAATCTTTGCCAGGGCCTCACTACCCTCACTGTAAAGAACTTCTTCCTTATATCTAACCTGAACTTCCCCGGTTTCAGTTTAAACCCGTCACCCCTTGTCCTATCGCTGCAGTCCCTGATGATGAGTCCATCTCCAGCATCTTTGTAGGCCCCCTCAAGATACTGGAACCTGCTCTGAGGTCTCCACACAGCTTTTTTTTTCTCCAGGCTGAACAGCCCCAACTTTCTCAGCCTTGAAAGATACTAGGACACTCAAGTTCCTTCCTCAGACAGCTCTGTCTGCTCCAGAGGGATTTTTGAACACTTCTGTGCCATTCCAGAAATCCCAGCACTTTTAAACCCTTCTCCTCTGGCTAGTACTGTATCATCTTTTAGTGGCAGTGAAATTTGCAGATGTCTCTCTGAACTTCTTTGAACTGAGGACGATGTACACTGTTGCGCTTTGTACTATAATGTTTAGTGGGATTAATGATCCTTGCAGTTGGTTCTATCAGTGGGAAGGTAGCACAGTGGAAACTTGGCTTTTCGTTGTGGTCTGAAACTCGGGAGAGCACAATTGGGCTTGCAGTGATGAACACAGGCTTCCTTTCAAAGGGTTATTTTGCAGCTTTGTCTTGGCTTGCCTGCAGGAGGTGGCCTTCAAGCAGCAGTGCAGTATGGCCACAAACACCGTCATGAAGGGACCCACTTTCAGGGTTTGGATCTTGCAGTTATCAAATTTGCCATGGCAAGCAGAGTTAAGTCTTCAAAGCTGAGTTTCATAAAGAGAATTAACTGCACCCCAAGATCAGGTCAACAGAGCTGTTTGCGTGATGGTTATTTGTTGGTTATTATGTTACCATCTTAAATCTTAGTACAAAATTGGAAGACTAGAAAAGCATTACATCGTATATCATTAATCTGCGGTTTTGCTTACTTCTCTTATGAGAAAACTACGTACAAGGAAATGTACATATACAAAAAACATACAAGGATATTAGACTACAAGGTAAAATCACTTAGGCAAGCTGCTTTAGGCACTGTAAGGAAGTTCTTGGGAGAGACCCCAGATCTGCCAGTATATGGGCTACAGTATTATTGTCCCACATAAGTACAAGCTGTAATTTTAACTTGTGGACCATGCAAACAGTCAAACTGCATGGCCTTAGCAGTGGTGCTGTTTCTGTCTATTTCTTACCAGTCCCAAAATCACATGGGAGCAGAATGCTGTAGAAGAGGCAGTTTTCAGGAAGAGCCAAAGCTCCCAGGATACATTGGCACTGAGCACTGCAGAACCTACAGAAAGTGGCTGAGAGAAGCCACAGTTTTAGCTGATAGCTTCCAGACTATGCTCTTCCCTGGCTCGGTGAGCTGTCTTCCTAAATCTCTGCTCTAGCCTTCTGAGCAGGCAAGTGTTGGCTGTGCAAGGACTTCTGTACTTCTGTCCTTTGTACTTCGAACAGCTTACCTGTAAGCAGTTAGGATCTAAGCACTGCTGTTTTTCAAGATTGACTGGATTCCTCCATGTGTATGCTTTGTGGCATATTGAGAGTAACTGTGTCTAGCTGTTTCCGTAGAGGTGTTGAGCAGATCATCTGAACATGTGCAGTGAGCTCGTCAAGGAACTTGAGACTAATGTCATGGCAGCCTAGTCAGGGCTACTGAACATTTGCTCCAACTAGGTTTCCATAGCAAAAAGAGGGTGTTACTGCAGAACCCCAATATATGGTAGCCCTATGCATGACACAGGAGTAGTGTAGAGGAGAAGTACTTCACAAAGTGAGGCCAGTTTTCATCTGGGCTGTGGCAGTAGCACCTGTGAGGAGATGTCCAGGCCTGCTGCCTCCCAACTGAAACACAGGATTGGCTGGATCCTAATCTGGGCATTTGATGAGAGTCAAGTCCAGGTTAAATAATGACACACACAGGAATATTGCAAGAACATTTATGAGGAAGAGGCACAAACTCTGTTCATTTCACAGGCTAAATAATATGTAGGTTTCTATCGAAAGCAAGTTGTTGTAAAGAAGTATGTTAAATCTTTTACATTCCTGCCTGGTTTATCTAAAGACTTCTAAAGAACTTCTTTTTAATAATTGGTCAAAGTGGCTAAGAACATGGCCATGTTATTTTTGGAGATGGATTAGTTAATTTATTTGCATAAGTTACTTCATACAACTTTTAATTTCTAGAAGTTACATTTCTAGAAATCCATGTAAGCTGACTAGTGTTTTTGCTGTTTACATTTTGTGAGTCACCATTTGTGGAAATAAATATCAGCTCTGCACTATTAACAAAATGTTAGTTCTTATTATTTGGAATTTGTGGTTTGAAGATTGTTCTATTATTATTCTGTTTCTTGTCTGGAAGGTTTTTAGCAGCAGAACTGGTAGGGAGTAATAAATAATCTTGTTTATGGATGAATAGTCTCCCACTCAGCCAGGCAAAGAACAGCCATTCTAAAAAATAATGAAGAATCTGGTACAAATTATAGAGAAGAAAGGAAAAAGGAATGTAGCAGTGGTTGACTTATGCAACCATTTGGAATTTTTACTGATATGACTGTTCTAAAGTGTCTGGTTCTTCATTGCTTTGCTGGTTCCAATAATGATAGGTACTGCAAAAAAAGCCATTGCTTATCAGAAAAAGAAGTGTGGCAGTTCTTTCAGTATGGTAGTAACGTCAGAACTGTGTGGAATCCCCATGGAAAATACACTATGTCCATTAAAATTATTTAGTCAGTACTTAGCAGAGATGCAAGACTAATGTTTCAGAATTTGCCCAGTATTAAAACTTTTCTTTTGAGAATGTTTAAACATAATTTCTTGAATCTGCAGGAGACGTAGGTTCGAAGTAAATTTGGTATATACTGTAGCATTAATTCAACATGGATTAGCTTGCAACAAACACTGGCTATTCAGTTTATATTTCGTATCACCATCTGATGGAAAAAAGGAAATGAGAAGTTGCATTATGGGAGAAAAAACTGAAGAAGCTCATAAGCATTTTGTTGTAAATATATTCTAAGACAAAAGAAGTTACGTGCATTCTAGGCTGACTGAGAAAACCTCAGATTTTGTTTTTAAAGAATATACTTTTGGTACTATTCAAAAATAGGTTTAACCACAAAGTTGAGTTCTTCATATTTGGCAATGCCAGGAGTTGAATAGGATAAGCTAGTTAAACTCGGCTTTGTTCATGTCGGTTATTGATACTAAAGTGACTTCTGAGTTACTGCAGTGACAAAGAAATAGTAACTGTTGAAAAAATAATAACACTGCCTAGAACTGTACAAACAGTTAGAAAGGAAGGTACAGATGTTTCCATTGGTGACTGTAAATAGAATACCACGTTGCCTATTTTTTGCTCTTTCACTTGTTTGCAAATAGTTGAATGTTCACACGCAATGAATTTTGGGCCTAAAGCTGATATTTTTTGACACATAAAATGAATAATAAGAAAACTACAGTTAATGCCACAGTGCAGTTCAAAAACATGAAGAAGGGTCAGATTTACCAAACACATTTCTCAGCCTTAACAGTGAAAGTAATGGAAAACTATCTTTCCAGATAAGTTTTGCCAACATAAAAACTGCAGAATAGTCCCAGTGAAAAAAATTTCTGTTGAAATATTATTGCTGGTAAAAAAAAAAAAAAAAAAATCAGTTTTTATTATTAGATCTATAGGAAGTATGAGAATGAACACCTTAATTTTTTGTAAGAGTAAGAGGAAAGATAATGCAGTAGGCAAACTATGTTCTCTTACTGCCTCTGTTGAAGTGTTTCTTCATTCAATACTATGGTGCTATTCAGTTCACATGGCTGTTTTGCCATGGTAACTACTATAGGTTAAGGTTTTGTTGTTGGCTTTACATATAAATATATATGTAAATTGTTTTTTATATATATATATTTAATCTTGTGTCAGTATGAGTGCAATAGCAGCTCTGTTTTTCAACTTTAAATTGAGCATAAATACAACCTGATTGTAGTTGGGCTCTAAAGTACAAAACAAGTCCATGTGAATTTTAACTTGGAAATAATGAAAGACTTATGCAGTCCATTCACTCCTTGCAGGCAAAGCAGGTACATTTTTCTTTCTCTAACTGGCTGAGAAACAAGATTAGCTTCTTCCTTACCAATTTGTATTGGAGAAAGCAGCCATATGTAATCAGAATATATTTTACTGTTAGCAACAACCAAGTTTCTGATAGCAGATTATAAGTAACTAAATGCTTCTGAAACTTTTGTGCAAACTTTTAAAATCAGTTCTACTTCTTAGAAATCACTCATTAAAATAGTATGCTGTAAGTTTCAATCACCAAGATTCTCCGCTTTTGGGAAAAAGTGATTTTCAGTGTCTATTCAAGTAGTTTGAAAATCTGATCATAACGATTAAATTGGATGGGATGAACTCACACACATTTAAAATGAACAATCCTGTTAAAATAATACTCTAGCATAAAAGTAATCTGCAATAAATGAAAAGAGGATGCAGCTACTGCTATGATTACACATATGCTTTTGCAGTGAAATCAGCATCCTTTTTTGGAGGCTGCATACTGTAGAGATGCAAGATGAGTAATTATTTTTTTTTTCTTTTTGTCAGCTGAGCCCATCGATGTGCTAAAAGCATTAGAATTTCACAATTTACCAGAAGGAGTATCAAGAACAGCAGGATTTTGCACAAACAGAAGGGATTCAAAAGGATCGGATGTCGCCTACAGAGTTTCAAAAACTGCACAGCTGAGTGCCCCAACAAAGCAGCTGTACCCAGGTAAGGCTATTAGAAAGCTATTACTGTGGTGAATTACCTTACTGCCTGTGTTTTCATGGTATCTATAGCACAGCATATAGTTTGTCATCAGTACCACAAAACATTTCTGTTATCCCTAGAATTGAGTGTGCATATGAATGACAGGACGTGCTCTTTGTCCACTAAATGAATCGTTTTTTATTGGCTTCAGTTATAAACCTTCATCAAACTCTGTGTCACTGGCAGAATCGGCTTGAAAGACATATTACCTGTTCTTTCATGATGATATCTGATGGAAAGCTTATTTGGTGGCTTTGGCGAGTTTCCTCCAGTTTCAGTAGTCCATTTAAAAGCAGTATTTCCTGGAGTAGTGCTGCGGTGGTAGAAATGAGTTGTGGTTGGCCATTGCAAAATCATTCCCAAAAGTACCATCTCTTAAGAATTACCTAAAAGTATCTAGGTATTTGGGGGACTAAACAAGGCTAGTCGTGAACAGCAAGTAATGTGATTCCATCTTTTCTCTGATTTCTCTAAAATGAAATAATTGTACTTTGGAAAAGATTCTCTGGATATTTAAGGGATACTTTTATTCTGTTATTTTACTGTCACTTATCGCTTGACCCAGACCGTTGAGGAAAATGATAATAAGTATATCAAAACCCCAAAATCTTGGAACATATAATTTTTCTGCTTTGATAAATCATGCAGAATTTGAAAAGTCAGTTTATAAACACAGAGAAGATATTGGGAAAGAAAAATACTTCTTTTTTGTCTTTCAAAGTAGAAATCATATGGATATCATCCAAGTTTTATAAAAAGGGGGAACATACATTATTTTGTAGTAATATAAGGACAGACTAGGAATAATGTGGGCTCTTTCCATAAGGAAGCAGGAAAACTGGCTACCCTGGATTTGGAGAAGGCTGGGGTTCTTAATGACTTCTTTGCCTCAGTCTTCACCGGCAAGTGCTCTGACCATGCCGCTCAAGTCTTGGAAGACAGATGCAGGGACTGTGAGAATGAAGACCTTAGGCCCACTGTAGGAGAGGATCAGGTTTGAGATCATCTTAGGAACCTCAAATTGAACATGCTCAACTCCATGGGACCTGATGAAATCTATCTGCGGGTTCTGAAGGAGCTGGCAAATGAAGTTGCTAAGCCACTGTCCATCATATTTGAAAAATCATGTCAGTCAGGTGAAGTTCCCGATGGCTGGAAAAAGGGAAATATAACCCACTTTTTCAAGAAGGGGAATATGGAAGACCCAGAGAACTACAGACCAGTCAGCCTCACCTCTGTGCCTGGCAAAATCTTGGCGCAGATTCTCCTGGAAACAATGAGGTGGTTGGTGACAGCCAACATGTCTTCACTAAAGGCAAATCATGCCTGACCAATCTGGTAGCCTTCTATGATCAGGCTACAGAACTGATGCATAGGGGCAAAGCAGTTGACGTCATCTACCTGGACATAAGATTAAACTGCCTTGGAATCACTGCTATTTTTTAAAGTTTAGGATAGGACAAGCACCTTCTGCTTAAATCAAAGCCTGAGAGTCTAGAGCTGGAAGTCTGGGAGCTTGGGTTGACTCAAATTGTAGAATAAAGAGGAGATCTGGCAGCTGCAGTAATAACTGTTCATATGATTCTTGAATGCCAGAACAAGCAAGTACCTCATGTTGCTGACTAGCATCTAAATTTCTATAGCCTTCGCATGCCTTAATTTAGGTACTCTTCTGAAATGTTTTCAGTTTCTGCTTTATGACTGGAATGCGTTTGCTTGATTTTACCAGTCTGTTGCAACAATTCTGTGTGCAGGAGACAAAATGGTATAAAATCATCACAAAACTTTGCTTAATGCAGGAACATGTCATGCTAACCTCTACTTCAGTAAAGAACCTAGAAACAATTTTTTGAGGTCGTTATGGTCATTACTTCCTTTTGAATCTTGCAGAACAGGCATAATCTCCCCACCACAAGAAACCCTTTTCTTTCCAAGATTATTAAAGATATTTGAGTGATCATGTAGCTTGTTCTTAGTGCTCTATACTAGTGGAAGGACTACAGAAGATAGCCAAGATAAGAGCAAGTGGTGAGACATCATTTTAGCTAAACAATACAAGTTGTAATGCATCCTTTGCTTGCTTTCATCTAACTCCTATAACTCCTAGGGAAGTATAGGTGTTCTTTTAACTACTGTAGCTCAAAGGGACCTATGAATCCCAAAAGCGGGGAGCATCAATACATCTATCTTTTAAAAGTGGATCTAATAATACTTATTAGTTTCCCAGAATATAATGGGCATTGATTTCACTGACTTGAAGGCCTTTTATTATTGGAAAAATAACTGCTTAGTTTTTTGTTGTGCTGTTCGTTTGTGTGTTTATGTGCTTTTACAAAAGCACATAGGAATGACAGGAATGACAACCCAGATATATATATACAAAGATTTTTCTAGCAATTTTCTCTCCAATTGTTATTTTTGGTAATTGCTTAAATACAACCATACCAATAAACAAAAAATTTAAAAGTAGTTGAGAAGACTTTGATAACTATTCCAAGTATGTGTCCAAGAACTCTCTCTCTCTATATATATACACATAGCAATTCATAAAGTTTTACATGGTAGAATGTCATTCATTTTTTGACTTTTTAAATCAAAACCAGGTTTGGATGAAATTTACTTATATTTCGCCTACACTGTGTAATTGTAAAACCTTTGGAAATATTGTATTATTATAGTATTGGTATAGAATATTGTTATAGCAGTGATAACAGAAACTACTGAACACATGAACCATTTTTGGTCACCTTTCCTAGAAAGTTCCCAGTTTTTTTTTTCCATGGGATGTTATATATTTGAAAAGCACATGCCCAGAGTAGCTGAATTAGTATCTGTCCTGGGTTCAGCTATAGCAGTCATTTTTTCTCCTTCTTAGTAGCTGGTGCAGTGCTGTGTTTTTGACTTTCAGCCTGGGAACAACGCTGATAACACCGATGGTTTTAGTAGTTGCTAAGTCGTGCTTACTCTGAGCAAGGACTTTTCAGTCTCATGCTCTGCCAGGGAGGAGGGGAAGTCGGGAGGAAGCAGAGACAGGACAGTTGACCCAAACTGGCCAAAGGGGTATTCCATACTACATCATGTCATGCCCAGTATAGAAACTGTGAGGAGTTACTCAGAAAGCCCAGATCGCTGCTCGGGTCGGACTGGGTATCAGTCGGCAGGTGGTGAGCAATTGTATTCTCTCCCCTTGTTATTTCCCTTATCATTATTATTATTGGTGGTAGCAGTAGTGGTTTGTATTATACCTTAGTTACTGGGATGTTTTTTTCT